GGGTGGTGGAATAAAGAAACACTTTTCAGTTCCTGCCTTTTGTGAAGGAGGTGGCCAAAGTCTGCCACTTCATTTTCTTTAAAGGTTGCCGCAGGATTCTGTGGGTTTAGCTACGATAACCATCGTGACATCGACTCAAAGCTGATGCTGGGGAGGAACAGAGATCATGATGCTGGGTCTCTGGGCACTTTACCTGCCACCAGTTGAGGTCCTCCTGGTTGAATATCTGGAGGATGTCGCCACTGCTGAACTTGAGTCCGGCCTCCTTGCAGGGGATGAGGTTGTCGTGGGCAGGGTCGTAGTCAAAGTGACACTTCACAAACGCCTGCGCACAGGAACACAGATCACACTTCAATGTCTGGCCTTACATTATATTTACCGTTACAAGTATTCACAGCGTGTCACTCACTTTAACATTAAACTTGCACCTGGTTTGCCCACAGAAAGGCATCTTCAGGAAATGCTATAATACCACAGTACAATGCTGTCTCTTCTAAAGACACTTGTGTGATGAACGGACATTGAATGTATATATATATGCCTTTTGACCAACTGTCCTTATTTATTTCTTTTTAAAAGTTGATTTAACTTTATTAGTTTTTTCTTACATTTTTATTTTCTACTTCCACTCACATTATCCTTTGCTGTATTTACCCTTTTCAGCGAAACTAGACAAAGAACTTTGCCACATAGAAGAATCAATAAAGTTCTATCTTATCCTGTCTTATCTACAAGAACACAGCTAAAGTATCGGTACTTTTAGCTCGTCTGATTTAATCGTTACTCATAACACAGTGATTAGATAAAACAGTGATCAGATTGCAGCTCCAGCTGGACTGCATCACCTACAGCAGTGCTGTTCCTAGTTGACATGGCACCCTAAGCGAGCATCACTCACCCCCCCCCCCACCCATCCCAGCGATAGTAAGATTGGCTGGCAAGTCGGCCCCCCTTCAGAAATTGGCAAGCACCTACATCGCCTGTAAGATTAACTAGCTGTGACATACAGGCAGCTTGGCATCTTCCACACCAGTGTGAGGGTCCTACACAAAAGTCCTTGCAAGAACCATTCACAAGAAACAGCAGCTGAAGAAGGCAAGTAACTAAAGACAGACAATGCAACACTCCCAGGGACAGTATCCATGACGACCAGAGCTTCTCTCAAGTGGACGCAGTAAGGAGTACAAGGGGTCGCCAGTCCCTGAGTCGCCCCACCCCCCCGGCCAGGAGACAGTCCCCCTGGACATCACAGCGCCGGCGTGGAGCACTGAAGAGCTCCTGTTCAGCGGCCACTGGCCATGGGGGGGGGCGTTGGCTCGGCTTGCCATCAGTCAGCGGCCCGAAATAAAGAGTGGAGCAGATGGCTGCTCCAACCCATATGCCGCAGGCTGCAGAGAAAGGAGGATCTTTCGGGGCGTTCAGTCAGGCACCTCGCTCCGCTGGGAATCCAGGTTGGCGAGGCACCCGTGTGAAAGGAATGTATAAATCAAAAGGGCTTCACGAAAAACCCACCCAGCTTTATAGCTACATTCATTTACTATTATTTTTGATCTAAACTGACTTACAGCTTACAACTCATCCATATAAAGGAGGTAGATTTTTTTTTTGGCTGCAGCAAATCATTATAGGCCCAGCGAGCAGGAAATGAGAAGCAGTGACCTTTCTCGAACATTCCACCGGCAGTCAACCCACTGGCCTTCATAAAAAATGGTCAGTTCATAAGCTGCATGTTAACATAGCATGAAGGCATCTGGTTAATTATGATTCCATAAAGTAAGACATTTAAAAAGAACAATGAGGTTAGGAGCAAACAGCATAGCTGACTGATAGCCAGCACCTTTGGTGAGGGGGCAGGTATCCAGTCTCGGCCCCTGCCGCACCATCCCCTTCAATCACACCGTTTCCACACCTTTAGAGCAGCCCCACCCTCACTGAGACTGCCAGCACTTCTCCTACTAGAGCCCATTATGGGTGACAATGACAGATCTCTCAGACACTCCGGCTCCATTACCCCGAACGCTAGTGTGGCGGACGCAGAGCCAGGGATGATATTATCCCAGCGGCTTCACTCCCGAAAAGCTGCCAGGGTACAAACGTGGGGGCCCCAGCTGCCACGCCCCGCGGCTCTACGTTAAAGGCAGAGGCGTGGAAAACCCCAGGTGGCCAGGCAGAGAGCAGCTCTACTCCCACTAAAGTTTTCATGAGTTTTCATGAGCTCCAGAGAAAGATATGCGAAAAAAGAAAAAATCTATTTCTATGACTAAACCTATGAAATAACAACAGTCTGTAATGTCCCCCTAGCAATCAGAACTTGAAGTACCTCAGAGAGCTATACAAGTCAGCAAAAAATATGAGTCACTGTTAAATGACTGTATTTGACTATTTTTATCAATACTGAACTCCACTAATACATTTAGGACTCTACTGTTTGAATTAAAGGCATAAATCGCCAGTAATGTGCAGACACCATGCAGAACTACAGCCAACAGCACGCTCACCGGAGTTACTTACACAAAAATGTTCTGAGAGCTGAAAGAAAAATGATTGGTTCAGATAGATAACCAATCAGACTGCAGAGGTGATGGGTCCAAGCAATGTGCTGTCTGCTGGGAATAAAGGGTGTTTTCCGGCATCTTGTTTTAACTAAGCAGGGGGAAACGAGCACGAGGCAGGGGGTGAGGGGGGAGGGGCAGGCTCACCTGGCGCGGGGTGTGTGGCTCCTGGTAGCTGGGCAGGATCTTCAGCACTACGCTGCCGCTGGCCTCCTTCAGCATCTCCTGCAGCACTTTGGGGTCATTGCCCACTTCCTTGGCGTTCACCTCCTTGATGATGTCGCCCACATGCAGCAGGCCTTGCTGGTCAATCATGCCCCCATGGAGGATCCTGGCGATGACCAGCTCGCCGCTCTCCACCCGGAAGGTCACGCCCTGCGGCAGAGGAGGCCCGCCTGGTCAGGCCTGGCACCAAACAGGTCACACGGCACCAGCTGGCCACGTCGCAGGCCGCTGACCCCCCATATCCATTCATTACAGGGGGGCAGAATAGAAGTACTGCTGACACATGGACACATATACAGCTGAGTTCGGCCTTGGGGGAGGGGTCACAGTGCAGGGTCACCAAGCATCCAGAGCCCCTGGAGCGACGGAGGGTCAAGGACCTTGCTCAAAAGGCCGACAGTGACATCACCCTGCCAGCCAAGGGATTTGAATCGGTGACCTTCTGATTACGCAACCCGCTAAGCAACACACACCACCCTGATAAGAAAAACTTTCAGATATTACTTGGCAAGGTACACGCCTAATTACACTAATATCCACTCTGTAATTATGATGATTCATCTCTTTATAATTTACATGAGAATATTTCAGCTCTTTTTGTCCTGTATACATTTTTTTGGACAAGGGTAAATAGGTATAAATAGAACAGGTAATACTAAGGTAACTGGGCCAGTAGAATAGACTGGGATGAAAACACACATACACACACACACCCCTACTGTGCCCATTCATTTCTATGGGCAAAACTCTAATCCCGACAATGACAACCGTAACCACTACCCAGGCCTAACCTTAACCATAAGTAACCAAACAAAATACAAAAGAGTTTTGGCACTTTTAGTTTTTTGATTGCAGTCACAGATTTTTTATAAAATTGAAATTCCCCTTGCGGGAACTGAAACAAATGGTCCCCACAACATCAAAATAACAGCTTATCACACTGTGGGGACATTTGGACCCCACACACACACACACACACACACACACACAAACACGTCATTCCTCCTGTAAAGCTCAGAAATTAAAGCAATTAAAGCTCTAAAATAACAAAATCCTTAAGTCAGAAACAGACAAGCCACACAAGCAGTTATACACAAATCCTGTTGCAGACTGGTCTGAGTGGGAAGTACAATCTGGCTAAATGAAGATAGAGGAAATCCACGGATGACGCAGAAAATGACCTATGTGGACATTTCCCTTGAGGGCAGTTCGCTGGCTGTGCCGCTGACTTCCCCGCGTACTGCAGACACGGTGATCGGCTGTGACTGTGCTGGACCCATCTACCTGCCGAGCTTCTGCTCTGCATCCGACTTCGGTGAGGAGCTAAACTCTACGATGTCTGTCCGTATCACGTCTACCCTCAAATTCAGGCCCCTATACGTTCCCTGACACCAGCATTTTGTCATCTCCATCGGTGCCTGGAAACATCTCCGCGTCCTGCTCCCCGTGGGGCTAGAGTAACAACAGCAATAATCAATCGCAAAACCAAAATAACCTGACGTAAATAGTGACAAAACACGCATGCAGGACTTTTGCTGTTTAAGGCTACAAACAGGGGGGCCCCGCAGGTAACGCTGCAGTCTCACATCTCCCGCATCATGCCGCTGGATCTGTTCAGTGCGGAGCTTGGATGTTCTCCCGGCGTTGCGTGGGCTTACTCTGGAGACTCTGGTTTGCGGTTAGACTCTACAGTTACCCACAGTGTGGCTGCTTATGTGTGTGTGGGCCTTGTGCTGAACAGGCATCCCATCCAGGGTTCTCCCCTGCTGTGTGCCCTCAGCTGCCAGGCAGAGACCACAGGATAGGAGGTAATGCTGCACAACCGAACACACAAAGGAGGTATTTATACGGTGCGAGCTCTGGGTCGTCTGTCGAGCTCACGGCTATCGCCACCGTCCTCCTCTTTTTACCCAATGAGCATAAACACAGCTGGGCAAATGGCTGGGATGGCACATAAATAGTGACACGATAATAAATATGAGGCTACACTGGTAAAAGACTAGCAGCCTTTCCCATCGCCAATATGTCACGACGAGAGCATATGGCACTCACCAGGTGTTCCCCAGCCACTTTGCGGATGCCCACCATCCTGACGGCGTCGGGGGGGACGGGCTGATTGTTCAGGGCGGCATCCATGAAGGCGCAGGGGCTGGGGGGCGGGGTGTCGTAGCTTTTGGAGGCCACCGAGTCGTGCGTCTCCAGGAGGGACTGGGGGAGAAGCAGCAAGCTGAGCCACATGTTCCAGGGCCCATGACGCGACATGTGCGCCGTGCTCTCAGCTAGCACTGTGGCAGTTAGCAAGCTGCGTCCGATGGTCAAAGGGGAGCGGATCTCGCATGCAGTTTCATGCAAGCTACCCAAATTAACACAGCAGAAGAATGATTTACTCTGTTAATGTGCTTCAGCAGTCTTTGGACCGTATTCCCCCTAAAGGCCTGTTAAGGAGAAGTAACAAATGAAGACCTGTCGTAATATGCTAACCGTTTTAAGCAATGCAGAGAAGAAAGGAAAGGAGAGGAAAATTAGACAAAACTGCTAAATCTGAAGAAAACAGCCAAAAATGTAGCATGTATATCATGTATATCTGTAGCACATCCATATGTTAGGACAGCCAGGGTAGTCGGAGGGACATTGACACCCTGGCAGATTCAGGGGCGCAGCACTTGACACGGGCAGTAATACGTAACGTGACGTTTTGTCAGGGGCCCCAGAATTTCTAGGAATGCCCCGGAGTATAACTTTAATATAACTTTTTAAAAACCCAAAGCAAATCACCAGTTATACTTAACAGAGACCAGAAATCATGCAGAAATAAGCAAAACCATTTGTTGCTGCAAAGGGGCTGAGAAGCAGGCAGCGTGATGTTGGGGAGACAGGCCCCCTTCCGGTGGAAGGACCAGCAGGCGCCCCACGGCTGTGCCCGTCAGCAAGGTAACACACCTTTGACTGAGGCTTTCCGGCATCACATCCAGCAGCACAAGCTAATAAAAAGAGCTGCTTCGGCCAAAAAGCATCATCAGAGCAGCAGGAAAGGTAAGCGGCCGAGCCAGAGGATGGACGAGAGCGCGTTAGCGTTAGCGCGCGCGTGTCGACGCGGCAGAGCGCGTCCGCCGCTGTCGGGGGAGCCGCGGGACCCGCCGGGCCTTACCTGGAAGTGGGGCTCCTTCAGGATGCGGGCCAGCTCGTCGGCGGCCTTGCTGCGGTGAGTCAGCGGGGTCAGATCCCTCAAGATCTCCTGCACCAGCTCCACATTGTTGTCTCTCACCGCTTCCAACTTGGTCTCCTCCATTTTCTCATGGGCCTATCAGGATCGTGGCGGGAGAAAATGTCTCATCCATGTAAAACACCCCCCCTCCCCCAAACACACACACAAACGCATACACAGAAGAGTGAGAAAAGCAGGATCTGCCTGATAGGTGTTTCTCCTAGTAGAGTGAGGTGAAATGGAACCTGAAGCCCATGAAATGTTCAGCGTGAATGTTGCACTGCTGCAGCACCACTAACCCCTCATACCACAGGCCCAACTGCCCTTTGTCCCCATGTCACACATTAAAATGCAGCTTTCCTCACAATGAAACCGCAGTCAGAACAGCAAATCAGTCCAGTTCTGCTTTTACAGAGAGAAAGAGGAGCAGTTCCAAAATATTACAAAGTATGCCGTTGCTGTTTAACTATTGATTTTCCTTTGTCTTCCTCTTAGGTGCCTTTTTTGCTGCTCATTCCCACAGCTGCCTTTTCATTTCTGGTTCTTCGACAACTGGATCGATTTTCCCCTTTCAGACCAACGCTCATACTTGGATGGACGTTGATTTGCCAAACTGTTCATAATGTCACAGCTCAGCCTTCAGAAAGTAGCTGCGTCAGAACAACATGCATTAATTCCCCTTCAGAGCTATTTTTGGTCTCACTGACTCAATTTTTTTCCCCTAACAAACACCAGGCGCCTTCCACGCAAAGAGCAGAAAGATACAGGACAGACACCATTGCAGAGACGTGTATAATTAGTCTGCTCCATCCTGGCTAAGACATATATTTCCATCTGACAACTCAGGCACCATCCAGGGCAGAAGTTTAACATCTAAGGAAAGCCAATCACCTGGGTGGGAATGACACACAGCCAATCGTATTCGGAAACACCAATCAATCACAAACCAATCGTGTTTTAGATGTTGCAACATTGCCAAAATAGTAACCTCAGTAAGATTAGTAACAGCAACACCTTCAGTAACACCTTCAGAGAGTATCCATGCTGCATCTAAGACACATGAAGGCATCTGGGGAACATTGTATTTGGAGGCAAAACTATTCCAGAACATCAGAGGTCTAAACACATTTTGATATATAAAAAAACATACAGCAACACTTTACTTAAAGAACTCATGTAGGGATACCTTCATAATGCATTTTAAAGCATTCATAAGGCATATGAACATGGCTATAACTAGTAATGAAAAGGCATAAGACATTATAGCCATGTTTATTATGCATTATGATTGCGCTATGAAGCTCTCATCTATAATGCACTATAGATACCTTCATAAACGCATTGTAATGGCTTATACTGATTATTACATATTGCGTAATACACATGGCTATAATGCATGCCTTTTTATAAATAGTTATAGCTGTAATACTTTATGACTGCATTACCATGCATTATGAAGGTATCTACAGTATAATGCATTATGATGACTGCTTTAAGTAAAGTGTTCCCAAAGATACATATTGAGCCACACGTCCTTCCAACATTGATGTAGCTTAAAAGGAGCTCAAAGACTAGATTGTGGAGGCAGATGGAGAAGCAAAAGATGATGGGTGAGAAGCCAGGAGGCAGCAGAGACCAGAGCAGACACAGTTTCCAGACAGCATCCCACTGGCTAACTAAAGTGCGATAAAGACCATCGATCACCACCACTGATTTCAGACCCAAGGTGCCGCAGGAGAAGAAAAATGATAGCCTGGTCTGGAGCAGCCTCTTGAGAGGTCGTGTTGCTATTCCCCACAACATGATTGGTGCCACATAGCCACCTTATTTGCTCAAGCTGCCAAACTGAAGATGTGCTCCCAGAAAGTCCAGACACTGACACTGCACTGCTCAGCATTTGCCATTAGAGCAGTTTATACAGGCTGATAATTGGGGATCAGTACTCAGGGGATTAACGGTCATAAAAGGTGATTCAGTACAGCAGCTGGAAAGAAAATAAGTGAATGGTACAGACCTGATAGCACCCTGCTCATCGCAACTGCTGCTCTCATCAGCCAGAGGGTTACCAGTGTCACGTCAGACAAACAAGCCTTTAGCTACCGACTTCACATTAAAAATGACCTCTTTCACATTAAAAACTACCTCTTTAAAGCTCAAATCCGTTGGTGAGATAATGAAGTGCATTAACCAGTGACTCTCAAACCAGACATTGGGGACCATTGTAAGCTGATAATAGTCCCAATAAAGCCCTTAATTACTGAGAAGTGATTAAGCTTGTGAACTTATGGACTTATACCAGGACTCTTCAAATCTGGCCCTCCTTTCCAAATCCAGGCCGGGCTCACAGTTCTCCCAGGTAGTTAGTTTAATACTTACTGATTCTAATTGACCAGAGGTTTCACATCGGGCTCATGGGGAAAGAAAAGCTGGAAAACCAGCAGAGCTCGGCCCTTGAGTCAGAAGTAACAGTCACAGGCAGGAGACTGTGTCAGAACTGAGTTTTCAAATAATTGTGCAACTAAAATAAAATATATTCCTTTAACCTCATTTTATTTCATTTTTTGTATAACTCAAATAATAGCAACAATTTAGATAAAAATTGTTTGGAGAAACTGCATTATTAAAGATTCTATATAATAAAGTTATTAAGTACTACTGTATTATTATACAAAGGGATGACAAATTAAAATACATTTTTCTTTATTAATATCAAGTCAAATTATGAAAATAATTACATAAAACGCAATTTAGCTTAACAGCACAAAAACCAATTTATATAATGGCTTCCAAGAAAATGGAGTCACCAGTGTGTTTTGTTATAATTTTAATCTAGGTATTTCCTACCATTTTAATTTTCAGCTTGAAATGTGACAAGGTCAGAATAACAATAATGTGGTCAATAAAAATAAGGGGATATGAAGCCAGTCACTACAGTAACACAGCCAATTATACAGCAGTACAGGCCTGTGCCGCAGTAATAACATACTGAGGGGAAAGGATCAGACAATTCTAACGACAAAGACCAAGATTCCAAAACCTTCACATAACACAGAAGTGTTTCATAACACTTCAACACTGGCCTTTCAACACTGACAAGTCTCTACTTCATTTTCTCAAAATTCAGCAAATTATCTCCAGTACAACATCTATAGGTTGGGTGGATGAGGGTTTTTACAAGAGCTAATAAATAACTGAAAACCCTGACTTGATGCAACATTTTAACAATATCAATGCCATAATATGTGATAGATGAAGATTGTTGCAGTACATGTGACAATGTTTAGCTCGTACAGGTGAATAGAATTCACATTCCGGTATTATTTTATTGGCTCATTCACATTCTGATATTATTCTATTGGCTCATTCACATTCCAATATTATTCTATTGGCTCATTCACATTCTAATATTAGCCCCATAACTGGAACAGTCAGATCATATTAGATGTTATGAGGTAGAAGGCTTATCAAGAACACTGTTGTTTTGTGCTGCTGAACAATGTATGGTTTCCAAAAAAGCCATTAATGTCATTTTACAGAAAGGGGCAAATTTTTATTTATATAAAAGTACTAGACCTTTTAAAAAAATTCTGAAGCCTAGGACAATTTAAATTGCTAGGTCTGGTTGCCAAAGTTTAAAACCCATTAATAAAAACTGTCTGATGAATTGTCCTGCTCTATTACACTGAATACAAACTTTCATTTCACAGGCTGAACACACACTAACTGTAACTCCTCACGCTGCATTAATATTAACAGAAAGTCCAGGAGAGTCATGCCTCTAAAGCCCTTGGCGCAGTAACAGCTGAGTGGCTTCATCTCTAAACTTCTCTTCGCCCATCTTATCACGACTCAGAAGACACGCGCCAGTCAGTCTGCCTCAGAAAGACACAGATAATAGATGCCCTTCCTTCACAAGTGTTACTGGCCGTTCAGAAGCAGGGGGACCACATAGATATAGGGTAAAGAGCTCCACCGATGCAGTCCCAAGGGTTTTGAATCACGACATTCATCAGAAACTAAAGAAGATCCACTGAACCGTGACTCGGAAAATAAACAGTGTCTTGCCCAAGCTTTTTCTCATCCAGCCTTTTCTTAAAATACACAGGATCTCTAACTTTACAAAATTCATTATCCGACATTTTCACTACAAGGGAATATTAATCAATTATGCTTTGCCACAGGAAATGCAGTTAGTGTTTCCATCTCCTGCCAATAATGGCCACTTGATCTAGCCCCAGTTAAGCCCAGTTCCACTCACATTACGCAATGTTGCAGACAGGAACACTCTGTACACTGCCACACATGAAAAACAAACTATTCCCATAATAAGGTGAATTGTAATTTAAACTTTGGTTTGTGTTTCGCACTAATCTGCCTTTCAGCACAACTGCGATATTGTGCAGCATTTACGTCTGAATATGCATAAAGATACTGCACTGTAATCAACAAATAAGTCAACAGCACTATTAAGGAAGTGAAAAAGTGATTTAGGCAGTGGGGCATCCAAGACTATGCATTAATTATATTTATGTTACAACCTGAAGTTGTCTTACTTCTGTGTAATACTGTATATTGCTGAGAGACTTTTTTATTCTCGTCAATCACATTTCATTGCAATGTTGACCCTGTGCTAACTTGCATATGACGAATAAACAAAACTGAACTGAACTGGTGCTGGGCCATTTTTTTGTATGAACAAATTCTGTTTCTCTTAGAGAATAATCAATGAATTGGTTTATACACATAAATCACTAATACTAGGTTTTTCTTTTTTTGATTGATTATGCATTTGTTTCAGTACAATTTTTTCAGTTCAATCCTTATTGCTTCAAACCTCTTGAACTTAGCAATGAAAGTTCAAGTAATGATGCTTATGGTGTTAAAAGTGCCTTCCATCTTTTAAATAATTTTGATTAATATCCTAAAATGCACACCAAAGATTAGGAAACATGCTTTGTAATGAAATAGGTCCTGTATTTCAGATCTATACATCATGGAGACAGGGCATTTCACATTCAGCAGAACATCGTTTCTTCAAATTCTTCAAAGCTTCATTTTACTGTTCTGTAAAGGTGCACTGTCAAAGTCCAAAGATGGCCTTTATGCTTGTCTACCTTCAAGGGTATCACTTTCATATAGTATACTGGTGTTCCTGGCCACATTACAATGTACTGATCGCTGTAACCTGTGTCCAGTGAGTCAGCCATGACAGTACTTAGGGTCAATTGATTCAGCAACCAAAAGCATATTGACTTTGGAAATATGCCTGGATCTGTGATTTCTGGGGCTTGTCTCCTACCTCCAGTCAACTGTAGCACTACTGATAAAACAAGGTATTGAATACTAAATGGGTACCAAGCTAAACAATGTCAATAATTTCAGTTCGGGCCAGTTATGAAAGCATGATGATGTTTTATGGACGATAACATCCATCCATCCATCCATCCATTTACTGAAACTGCTTAATCCCAACTGGGGTCGCGGGGGGGACCGGATCCTATCCTGGGAACAATGGGCGCAGGCAGGAACCAACGCTGGGCAGGCGCCAACACACCACAGGGTGGACGATAACATATTCAGTGAAATTAAGTTAATTGCTCCATTCAGCTTCAGAGCCTACACCTCCATGCAATGGTATGGTTGGACAGGTAGTAAACTCACCACTGGGCTCTCCATGATGCCTTTGAGAAAGATGAGGTCCAGGTCATTGGCAGTAGTGGAGCTGGTACTGTCACTCAGGGTGTCCAGGACCTGATGCATAGCTACAAAGACAAACACCGATTATTACTGCGGCATATAAACATAATTCTAAAACTTTCATTTTCCTCAGAGCCTCACTGATAAGCATCTGCCTCATGCCTGAAGACCAAGTGATTGACAAAGATAAAACCAGGGCTGTCTTGTCTGTCTCCGTTTAGCCAGCTGTGAAACCACAGTGGACACATATTCATTATTGTGACTGTTAACTCAGATCTGCAGAGAATATAGGGAGTTTATGGAGTGAAGCTCACCAAGCTCCACCAGGCTCAGCAGGTGTTTCTCGATCCCAAGAACACAAAGATCGTACTTGTGGTCTTGGCAAGACCAGTCCTGCTAACTTGCCTCCCAAGAACGAACTTGGGGCGCAATGAATCATGGGACTGGTCTCATTTTGCGAGAATGCAACCGATGTATTCTAGATATTTGGGCCGGGGCAAGAGCGACATTCAGGGATTTTTATCATCCTATGTATTTCTGTTCCAGAGTATTGGAACTGGTCTTTGGCAATGGAGTATCTAATGTCAAACAGGTACGCGGGAACTCAAACACGGTCAAGTATGCATATTGTGATTCAGCCAGGATCTTCACTAAAAATGAGCATGGCATCATTAGCATTAGCTTACAGGTTATCAACTCAACATCTCCAATCCATGTGCTGATACTGTATGACAAATGCAACTTTCTTCAAATAAAGGCACATTAATCCACCTACATAGTCAGGCTATATGAATAACAATGAAGCATCACCATGTACTCGCAGACAGGCAAATATGCAACCACAAATGTGCTACAGAATACACAGGCCTTCAAAAATAGCTAAATAAGTTTAGTTGCATTGGGAAGTGAGGGGTTTCACTAATTTAATAGTTTTAATGAGTTTATCTTTATGCAGCCCCATCCCCAATGTGATTTCTCCACAGAAACCCAATATTCAGAACCGGGCCCCAACAAACATTTCCAATCAGTTTTGATACTGATCCTCAGCTGAAGAAGTAAAAAAGCTATTTATACATGAAGGCAAATGCTGCGTTGTTAGCACTGCATATGAAATAACGCTCTGGAGGCCTGTGGAAACAGGGCATCTTAAAGGAAGCCCCTGTCAGTTTCGCTGGGATTTCTCTGACACGTTACTGGAAGAGTTAAGGTTCAGGGAGAAGCAGGAAGTAAGTGCTGAACACCAACTCCATGACTCCAGTGGCCTGTAATACAAAGCGGGGTTACTGGCTTATTGGGGTAACTTGTCGGATTTAAGGTACCACAGTCTAAATGGACTTCATATTCGTTCACTTACATTTTGCCCAGACTACCTTAAATCCGACAAGTTACCCTGATAAGCCAGTAACCCCGCTTCGTAGTACAGGCCACAGGTCAGCCAAAGCAAGTTATTCATGGTTGGAACTTTCTAATATCAAACCCGTGATACTTTATTTGAGGGGGCACAAATAACTTAGTTACTCATTTCCTGCTCAAAAACAAATCATGAACTAATATAGTTACTGCATGAAATATATGAACCATCATGACTGATCCCTGATGAACGAACATGGGATCAGTAAACAACTAGTTACTGGTTTATTAACACATTAAGTAATCATGTGCTACAACATTATGCCCCAAGTAAAATGTTACCAACAAACCTATTTATGACACCATGAGCCCCCACCACCTGAGGCTGGACTGAGCATCACCGGAATGGGATTTTGGAGCTATTTATTACTGCTATCACTCCAACAGCAATCATTCATATAGATAAGCTAATCTGTGCTGCCTGGAATAACTAAATCGCTGCTTGCTTTCAGGACTAACGTAGACTTCAAGTGATTAGTTTGTCCAGTAGTAGGCTTTCTTTTTTCGATTTACTGAATAATGCAACAACAGGCACAATTAGACTGAAACCTGTAGCCTACAGCTTGCCTAAAGGTTCATTTTCAAGAGACTGGGAGGAAGGAATGAAGAGTATGCGAGGAGACAACTTCTCCAAATTGCTGAAGGATACATCTGTCAGATGCAGCTGCTTTAGAACGTTTCGGTCTAAGAGCATTCCTCGTGATCAGGATTATAGCCGGGCTATGACGGAACGCTTCAGGCAGAAGAAATGCCCTGGGCAGAAACGGTGCTACCTAATGCACATTTAATAGATGAAACATCAGCAATGTCCTTTGCAATGAACAAATAAACCTTTTAGTATCCTGCAAGCTGAGTAGTGTTCTAAACATAGGCATCTTTAACAATATAGCGAAAGTAATGAAGAGCTGACCTTACCATTGCAACATGCTTAAATGGTTGCTATTTACTTAAATTATCAATTCCATTTGGCCTCCATTGGGTTATTGTTAGAAGGGCTTAATTGAAACTACATATTTCATATCAAGATGAGAAATTCATGTATTGAATGAGGAATTCAAGGATTCTAACCTGGTATGCACTGTGCTAGTAATTTCCTCCATATAATTATAAGAGATTCATTGCTCTCATCATGACCTGAAGCAGCTTTTGTGATAGACAGTTAATTGACTTGAAGAACATCTTGTATCAAAAGCATCAAATTAATAATCACAGGGGATTGGAGGCCCTATTCAGGGGGCTTCAGACACCCTGTTTCTCCCCTAGACCCCCTGAAAAGTTATTTTTCTGAGTTCGAATTAAATCCGAAATAAATAGCGAATCGTCCCGTATTTTCGTACACATTTCGTACCCCCCCTCCCCCCCCGCCATCCCCGCATCCCATTTTTCTTTTGATTGAAAGTGGTTAGCCTACTGGGCGCTGAGCCCCCCTAAGGGTCAAATCCTGAAATCGCCCCAGATATATTATTTTATATCGGCTCGGTTCGTGAGCTGCAGTTGATTGTGGTTGTTTGCAAGATGCTCTGCAATTTTTTATCATCCTGTTCTATTCAGATTTTAGAAGGGAGGTTGGATGGAACATGTCGTATAATCATAACGAAGTAAATAAACTGGAAAGGAATCTGGTCACACCGTAATGTCGTAAATGTATACAGTACCACCCTATAAAGAATATAAAAACACATGAAATAGGGTCTGAATGTGCTAAAATTAATGTACTTGTCTAGTATAACCATGCAAGTAGCATCAGAGGTGCTTGTCAAAGAATATTGCAGTGTGTGGAAATGGAAAAAGACAAGCCAGAACAGCAGTACATTGAGGCATGTCTCACTTTCTCAACAGCAGGGACTGAGCTGCGCGTCGCAGGCTCCCAGTTGAGAGTGTTTTTCTTTGAAGAAAGGGGAAACAGCAAAAAACAATCATGGGAGTCTGTTTGTATCTAGCTTGTCTGGTAACACTGGGTAAAGGTTCTCAGGCTGCCTTAATACAGCAGGCTGGTCTCATCAACGTTAATTTCTACCTCACAATGATAACATTATCTTATATAAAACTATACACACACATGGACACACGGGCACACGGACGCACACACACACAGAAACGCAGACACTCACAAGAACACACACACAAACATGCACACAACATATAATAGTGTCCCAGCTCCTAAAGGAATCAGTTCTGCCCTGAAATAAAGGGAACATCATCCGCACATAGGAAGAATATAAGGTTTGGTTTTTATCGCCACTCCTGTTCTCACTGTAGCAGCTGTTACTGTTATGTATGCATTAATTTATTTAGCAAATGTTTTTGCCCAAAGAGACACTGAAGTGAGGATCAGAGAACAGGGCCAGCCATTACTCTGCTTGTTGTGGGATCTGAACCCATGACCATCCCGACATAGATCTCTACGCTGCTTTGCTACACGATGCATTATTGTGTTACAGTATAGTTGCTCTTGTTAAATATAGTGCCAGTGGGAACATGGACAGTTATGGTAATTACAACAATGGGATCCAGCAGTAGCGGAACGTCATCATGCTACCAGGCAGCATCTGAGGTCCATGCTGTGGAGGTTCTCTCCTCTTTCTCGCATCGGACCGGTGCTGTTAGCATTCTCACTGTTAGCATTCTAGCAAGTACGTGCATAGCAGGTTAAAACCCACAGCTGAATGGGAAATTTAATTTCCTTTAATGAGATTTATTGAGACAAATTATTCCAGCCTTTGTTAGTTATTGCTGTTCACTGAAATGTTCCAGCAAAAACACCGGCAAATGGCATGTTCTGCACAACCTTCATGCAGGCACCTCCCCTAGATTGAAGAAACAGCTACTGCCTGTTAACCATCCATCCATTTTCTGTAACTGCATGTCCTATTCAGGGTTGTGGAGGGTCTGAAACCAAACCCAGAGGCTATGGGTGCAAGGCTGGAAAGAACCCAGGATGGGGCACCAACCCAACACAGGGCACACTCTCATGCACACATGCCGCTATGGGCAATCTGATAACTCCAATTAACCTCTGCATGTGTTTGGACTATGGGGCGGGGGGGGACTGAAGTACCTGGAGGAAACCCCATAATGACATGGGGAGAACATGTGAATTCCACACACATGGAGCTAAGGAAGAGGCTTGAACGCTGGTCCCAGAGGTGAAAGACAACAGCACTAACCACTGCGCCAACATGCCGCCCCCTCTGCTCAGCATGTCATTTTATAAGAATCAATTTTTCAGAAATCTATTTTCTCTTAAGCACCCCTTGTTAGACATCATGAGAGACTCCAGCAGAAGCAAATGGCCAAGCATTCACTAGCCCCACTAGCTGGATTCACTAGCCACATTAGCTGGATTCACTAGCCCCGCTAGCTGGATTCACTAGCCCCATTAGCTGGATTCACTAGCCCCGCTAGCTGGATTCACT